TATATTAGTGTAATGGTTCCACTTTACACCCTGTGTGAGTTTTGTTTTGCGGACTTTTTCAGATTGTTCTAGCTCTCTTTGAAGCCGATGACACATCACATCTGATATCGAAAACCGCATGAAGATCGGTCAATTTTTTAAAAAAATACAGGTCTTCGAAATAGAGTCAAATTATGAGTGGTCCATTTGGTGTGTTGAGAACTGTATTATTGAAAAGGAATATTCCCAGCTATAATAATTATTACCATAAAAAAATGGATATATACAGGGTGGCATTGAAATAAGTGCAAATATTTCAAGCCTTGAGTAAGCTCGACGTATACTATCGAGTGGCACCAATGAAAAAAATATAGGGATCAAAATGGAATTTGAGGTTAGATTTCTTTCTCCACCCAAAGTTCCACACTGTAGCAAATCTGACGTCACCTCTGTTCAAATTTTCATGCAAGGCCCAATCACGCGCATTTTAATTGTTTTAAAGTGGCATACTTGATTTTTTTGTCGAATTTTGTTCAATTTCCGGGATGAAATTTCTTGTTTATTGAGAGAGTTAGGAAAAATCTGATAATATTCGTTAGACTGTATCATATCCATGTGCTAATTATATGCACTTATTTCAAAAACACCTTGTATATATATATAAATATATTGAGAATTCGCATTCTCCATGTGATGAAAATATCGATTCTTTCTCGGTTTATTCAACATAAAAGAAATACTTTCCTGGCTATATGCAACGACGAACATTGAATTATATCTATTGAACACACACGATGATAATTTGAAAACAAAATCGACAAATTTATTGAAAAATTATTTCTTCTCGAAATATTGAATGATAAGGCTGAAGGACCTCAATGGAGGTTGATATCAAGTTGGTATGTACATATATACACGCAGCAATGGTAATTCGTATTGAAATTTCAATAAATTATTGTAACCAGATGAACCACACGTAAATTTGATCACCAACGCTTTTTCCAAACTCTGCATCCCATCTGTTACTATTAAATTTTGAATTTTGAGATGAATCATGCTCATATAAAGCAACATTCTTACTAATATTACTCAATTTGTTATTCAAATCTTCCATTCGGTTTTTCAAATGCAAAAGTTTTCTATAATATTGTTCATCGGAACTGAATTTTGCTCAAAATTGCCTGGATATTTGCTTGTTCAATTTTTTTTGTATTTTTCTGAATATATTTGCTCATTTCGTTTCAAATCTGATCTAATTTTAGGTAATAGTTCTGAATTTTGTATCTTAACATTTTGCTCAAACTTATTTTCCAACTCTCTATTTTTTTCGTCTATTTGATGTTTCCTGACTTCCTCACTCTCTTCCACTCGTAAACCTTGGATTTTTGAATATTCCTGCTCTAAAAATTCGATTCTCAAGTTTTCTTCTTTCAAAATATGTTCGCAATGAATTTCATCATCTGCAAGTTTTTCGTTTCTTGTTGGTTCTAAATTGGAATAAGGTTCTTTTCGATACTCGCTCAGTTTATAAATTGTGGGTTCGTCTCTTTCTCTCAATATCTTCAACATCAAATCTTCCGTTCTGAAGTGTACCTTGATATCCTACCAAGAAATTTGAATACCTCGCAAATTTTGTGGCCTGAACCTATATTCCACTCCGGCCGCATCATATTCTGTTTCCATTTTTGTAGAATTACGTTATCCGATGGAAATTCGAACAGAGTGAATTGCTTTCCCGTGCTCTCACAATTGGAAACTGCACAAACTTGCATCTTTCTTCTAATTCTCTCAATTTGTCAGTTCCCGCTTTTTCCATGAATTTATTCGTGGTTATATCTGATTGTCAGTGCTTGTCATAAAAAACGTCAAAACGGCAGTGTCAAGAACATTCAGGAACTCTAGTCAGGACTTGTTCGGACAAGTAGACCTGCATACGTGACGTCAACTCTCTCTAGCTTCAGTTTCAGTAGCTTTTAGTTTAGTTAGTTGCTTTCGGGCCTATGGGGCTTGGCTTCACAGCCTATTTCACAATCTATCGCAAGTGGAAGCAACCGATTTCTGTCTCTGTCCCCACCATTTATCGGTGTGGTACCAATCTTCACGTAGGCTCGGAAGCCGAGGCCATTTCAAATTTGACCGGCAAGTCATACACAGTGTGTCAAAATTTGGTAAACGCGTGCTGTGATAGTTTCACGTATCTATTATATTTTTTCGTTAAATAAATCGTCAACAACTAACCAACAAAATGGTAAGTCCAAATTCATTTTCATTCAGAAGGGAATTTATTTTATAATATAATAGTTTTCAACTATTTCATGGTGAATTATATTTTGTGTTCATCTTTCTCATTTTTTTTCCGTAATATCTATTCTTATTTAAATTATTTCGATGTAATTCCGGAGATGAGCAATTTTTTATATTACATTTTCAACGCACCACGTGCGAAAATTATAAGAAGCAAAAAATGCTTCGGAAGGAAATTTATTTTGAATAATACTTCATAATTTTCATTTATTACATAGTTAAGTAGATTTTCGTGTTCCTCTTGGTCATGAGCTTTTTTCCCCGTAATATATATACTTATTTCAATCATTTCAATGTGATTCAGAGGAGTAGCAATTTTTTATATTAACTTTTCAATTCACCACGTGCGAAAATTATAAAAAGCAAAAAATGCTCAGACAGGAAATTTATTTTGAATAATACTTCATAATTTTCATTTATTGTATAGTTAAGTAAATTATCGGTGTGGTACCAATCTTCACGTAGGCTCGGAAGCCGAGGCCATTTCAAATTTGACCGGCAAGTCATACACAGTGTGTCAAAATTTGGTAAACGCGTGCTGTGATAGTTTCACGTATCTATTATATTTTTTCGTTAAATAAATCGTCAACAACTAACCAACAGAATGGTAAGTCCAAATTCATTTTCATTCAGAAGGGAATTTATTTTATAATATAAGAGTTTTCAACTATTTCATAGTGAATTATATTTTGTGTTCATCTTTCTCATTTTTTTTTCGTAATATCTATACTTATTTAAATTATTTCAATGTAATTCCGGAGATGAGCAATTTTTTATATTAGATTTTCAACTCACCACGTGCGAAAATTATAAAAAGCAAAAAATGCTTCGGAATCAAATTTATTTTGAATATTACTTCATAATTTTCATTTATTGCATAGTTGAGTAAATTATCGGTGTGGTTCCAATCTTCACGTAGGCTCGGAAGCCGAGGCCATTTCAAATTTGACCGGCAAGTCATACACAGTGTGTCAAAATTTGGTAAACGCGTGCTGTGATAGTTTCACGTATCTATTATATTTTTTCGTTAATAAAATCGTCAACAACTAACCAACAGAATGGTAAGTCCAAATTCATTTTCATTCGGAAGGGAATTTATTTTATAATATAAGAGTTTTCAACTATTTCATAGTGTATTATATTTTGTGTTCATCTTTCTCATTTTTTTTTCGTAATATCTATACTTATTTAAATTATTTCAATGTAATTCCGGAGATGAGCAATTTTTTATATTAGATTTTCAACTCACCACGTGCGAAAATTATAAGAAGCAAAAAATGCTTCGAAGGGAAATTTATTTTGAATAATACTTCATAATTTTCATTTATTACATAGGTAAATTTTCGTGTTCATCTTGGTCATGAGCTTTTTTTCCGTAATATATATACTTATTTCAATCATTTCAATGTGATTCAGAGGAGTAGCAATTTTTTATATTAACTTTTCAACTCACCACGTGCGAAAATTATAAAAAGCAAAAAATGCTTCGGAAGGAGATTTATTTTGAATGATACTTCATAATTTTCATTTATTGTATAGTTAAGTAAATTATCGGTGTGGTACCAATCTTCACGTAGGCTCGGAAGCCGAGGCCATTTCAAATTTGACCGGCAAGTCATACACAGTGTGTCAAAATTTGGTAAACGCGTGCTGTGATAGTTTCACGTATCTATTATATTTTTTCGTTAATAAAATCGTCAACAACTAACCAACAGAATGGTAAGTCCAAATTCATTTTCATTCGGAAGGGAATTTATTTTATAATATAAGAGTTTTCAACTATTTCATAGTGTATTATATTTTGTGTTCATCTTTCTCATTTTTTTTTCGTAATATCTATACTTATTTAAATTATTTCAATGTAATTCCGGAGATGAGCAATTTTTTATATTAGATTTTCAACTCACCACGTGCGAAAATTATAAGAAGCAAAAAATGCTTCGAAGGGAAATTTATTTTGAATAATACTTCATAATTTTCATTTATTACATAGGTAAATTTTCGTGTTCATCTTGGTCATGAGCTTTTTTTCCGTAATATATATACTTATTTCAATCATTTCAATGTGATTCAGAGGAGTAGCAATTTTTTATATTAACTTTTCAACTCACCACGTGCGAAAATTATAAAAAGCAAAAAATGCTTCGGAAGGAGATTTATTTTGAATGATACTTCATAATTTTCATTTATTGTATAGTTAAGTAAATTATCGGTGTGGTACCAATCTTCACGTAGGCTCGGAAGCCGAGGCCATTTCAAATTTGACCGGCAAGTCATACACAGTGTGTCAAAATTTGGTAAACGCGTGCTGTGATAGTTTCACGTATCTATTATATTTTTTCGTTAATTATATCGTCAACAACTAACCAACAGAATGGTAAGTCCAAATTCATTTTCATTCGGAAGGGAATTTATTTTATAATATAAGAGTTTTCAACTATTTCATAGTGAATTATATTTTGTGTTCATCTTTCTCATTTTTTTTTCGTAATATCTATACTTATTTAAATTATTTCAATGTAATTCCGGAGATGAGCAATTTTTTATATTAGATTTTCAACTCACCACGTGCGAAAATTATAAAAAGCAAAAAATGCTTCGGAATCAAATTTATTTTGAATATTACTTCATAATTTTCATTTATTGCATAGTTGAGTAAATTATCGGTGTGGTTCCAATCTTCACGTAGGCTCGGAAGCCGAGGCCATTTCAAATTTGACCGGCAAGTCATACACAGTGTGTCAAAATTTGGTAAACGCGTGCTGTGATAGTTTCACGTATCTATTATATTTTTTCGTTAATTAAATCGTCAACAACTAACCAACAGAATGGTAAGTCCAAATTCATTTTTATTCGGAAGGGAATTTATTTTATAAGAGTTGTAACTCCGGAGATGAGCAATTTTTTATATTACATTTTCAACGCACCACGTGCGAAAATCGAGGTGAAAATTATAAGAAGCAAAAAATGCATCGAAAGGAAATTTATTTTGAATAATACTTCATAATTTTCATTTATTACATAGTTAAGTAGATTTTCGTGTTCCTTTTGGTCATGAGTTTTTTTTCCCGTAATATATATACTTATTTCAATCATTTCATTGTGATTCAGAGGAGTAGCAATTTTTTATATTAACTTTTCAACTCACCACGTGCGAAAATTATAAAAAGCAAAAAATGCTTCGGAAGAAAATTTATTTTGAATATTACTTCATAATTTTCATTTATTGTATAGTTAAGTAAATTATCGGTGTGGTACCAATTTTCACGTAGGCTCGGAAGCCGAGGCCATTTCAAATTTGACCGGCAAGTCATACACAGTGTGTCAAAATTTGGTAAACGCGTGCTGTGATAGTTTCACGTATCTATTATATTTTTTCGTTAATTATATCGTCAACAACTAACCAACAGAATGGTAAGTCCAAATTCATTTTCATTCGGAAGGGAATTTATTTTATAATATAAGAGTTTTCAACTATTTCATAGTGTATTATATTTTGTGTTCATCTTTCTCATTTTTTTTTTCGTAATATCTATACTTATTTAAATTATTTCAATGTAATTCCGGAGATGAGCAATTTTTTATATTAGATTTTCAACTCACCACGTGCGAAAATTATAAGAAGCAAAAAATGCTTCGAAAGGGAATTTATTTTGAATAATACTTCATAATTTTCATTTATTACATAGTTAAGTAGATTTTCGTGTTCCTCTAGGTCATGAGCTTTTTTCCCGTAATATATATATACTTATTACAATCATTTCAATGTGATTCAGAGGAGTAGCAATTTTTTATATTAACTTTTCAACTCACCACGTGCGAAAATTATAAAAAGCAAAAAATGCTTCGGAATCAAATTTATTTTGAATATTACTTCATAATTTTCATTTATTGTATAGTTAAGTAAATTATCGGTGTGGTACCAATCTTCACGTAGGCTCGGAAGCCGAGGCCATTTCAAATTTGACCGGCAAGTCATACACAGTGTGTCAAAATTTGGTAAACGCGTGCTGCGATAGTTTCACGTATCTATTATATTTTTTCGTTAATTGTATCGTCAAAAACTAACCAACAGAATGGTAAGTCCGAATTTGTTCAAGCATTTCATTCGGAAGGGAATTTATTTTATGATACTTCATAATTTTCAACTATTTCTTAGTCAATTTTCGTGTTCATCTTTCTCATATTTTTTTTGTAATATCTATACTTATTTCAATTATTCCAATGTAATTCTGAGGATGAGCAATTTTTTATATTACATTTTCAACTCACCACGTGCGAAAATTATAAAAAGCAAAAAATGCTTCGAAAGGAAATTTATTTTGAATACTTCATAATTTTCATTTAATACATACATGGTTTAGTGAATTTTCGTGTTCATCTTGCCCATGAGCTTTTTTTTCCGTAATATATACAGTGTCATTCATAAAGTCGGCATCATATGGGAAAAACTTTTATCATTGACTTATTTTGAAATTCGAGTTGGACGTTGAGTTTCGCTTCAAAAAAGATGAAAAATGGCCTACTCAATCGGGGTCACGTGACTTTCGCTACATGTCAAAAGTGACATTTTTTCAAATTAATCGCTGAAAGTAGGCTTATTTGTTCGAATATCGAAAAAGTTCACTTGAAAAAGTTGTTTCTATTTCAATTTCACACATGCATCCCGAATTTGATCTTTCTATTGCAACTTTTAGATTTTGATTTTTTTTTAATTTTTCGAAATTTCTGTAATATTTGAAAAATTGTTAATTCCACGAAACTACTTCATACAAGTAGCTTTTTCATGCTACTTACTTTCAATTACTTATTATCAATGATTATGGACAGAAATATGATTTTCTTCAGAAAATGATAATACCCGCTTCCAAATTCTGTTATGTTTGATGCAAAGTTGATATATCGTCAAGCATTTAGAAACGAAATTCATTTAAACTGATCTTTTCAGTACTGAAAAAATAAATTTAAATAAATTTCGTTTCTGAATGCTTGACTCAAACATAACAGAATTTTGATGTTGTTTGGATCAAACATAATAGAATTTTGAAGAGGAGATTATCATTTTCTGAAAAAAATCATATTCTTGTCGATAATTAGTGATAATTACTAATTGACAATTAGTAACATGATGAAGCTACTGGTATGAAGTAGTTTTATCGAATTTACAATTTTTGTAATATTATAGAAATTTCGAAAATTTTTAAAAAAATATCGAAATCTAAAAAAATTTAATAGAAAGATAAAATCCGAGTCACATTATGTGAAATTCAAATAGAAACAACTTTTTCAAGTGAACTTTTTCGATATTCGAACAAATAAGCCTACTTTCAGCGATTAATTTGAAAAAATGTCACTTTTGACATGTAGCGAAAGTCACGTGACCCCGATTGAGTAGGCCATTTTTCATCTTTTTTGAAGCCAAACTTGACGTCCAACTCGAATTTCAAAATAAGTCATTAATAAAAGTTTTTCCCATATGATGCCGACTTTATGAATGACACTGTATTATCATCTTCCTTCTCCAATGGGTTTCATCCGACTATATTTTTTTTCATTTTTTAACCGTTTTCAAAGGCTTCAGCACTGGTCTATTTTTTGATATCGCAGAAAAAATCTCAAATAATACAGGATGTCTGTAAAAGGTCTTTACAAAAACATACCACATATTCCTTAGACCAAAATAAGTCGATTCGAGTAAAATTACTTCAGTACAAAGTTGCATCGTTTGGGCTCCAGAGGGCCTTGAAGTTACAATTTTTAAATCGTTTTTCCCATATAAATTTAAAACGGCATATGCGATTTTGCTGAAATTTGGTATATTGATAGAGTTTTATGTGGCAAAAAAAATGGTGTCAAAATTTTGTCTGATAATAATACATAGGCGTAGAACTTGATTTTTTAAATAATTGCACCTTTAAAACGTCAACGCCAATGGAAGAAAAGGAGTTTGAGCATGAAATTAAGAGAGGGGTCACACGAGCGTTTAAATGACGGACGTTGTAACGCGCGTTGTAGCGGACGTTGTAGAATAACACCAGCGTGATATGCGTCGGTCACACCACCAACGCGCGCTCAACTCGTCGCGCGTTATTCATTGTCAACGCTCAGCACCTCTAGTACGCCCGTTGGTGGACACAGCGCGCGTTCTTGTTCAACACATGGTCAGATATACGTAGCCACACGATATTCAATTTAACGCGCGTCTATCTGACGATTATACGAAACTGGCAGTATTTTTGTGATCTGGCAACAGCTAACGGTTGAGTTGTCCGTATCGTAGACTATCGTAGACATCGTAGACTATCGTAGACGTTGTTATCGTATGTTTTGGACTTGTTTTTGATTCATTATATCAAACATGGATATAGAAGTGATCATAAATGAGGTCCAAAAACGTCCCGTGCTTTGGGATACTTCTAATGAGGAGTACAAGGACCGGAATAAGAAAACTACAGCTTGAGAGGATAGAGAGTATAAAATGATCCACTTAAGAACCTCTCACTGTTCATGGGATGAACCCACCATTTACGTTTTTTCCTAGCCTGCTTTTTTTTACGTAGATCTAGGTGTAAAATCAGAAATGCGGCAACATCCTGCGGACCTTCCATGACTGTCACATGTATACTCAACAAACTGACGCTCGTAACTAAACGCTCGTGTGGCCGGAAGATTTGTCGCGCGTTCCAAAATAACGTCCGTTTTAACGTGCGTTGCATAAACGCTCGTGTGGCCCCTCTCTTAGGTTGCGCAACTCATTTACTTTAAAAAAGGTACTCGTGATAAGACTCGATTGCTCTCATGGTTTTGACGAAATTTGCATTTCAGTAATTTTGAAACATAAACAATAATTATTAAAATACAAACTATGTCAGAACCATGAGAGTAAATCGAGTGTTATCAAGGGTACTTTTTTGTAGTAAATGAGTACCCAATCCAAAATTCATACTCAAACCCCTTTTCTGCCATTGGCATAGAATTTTTAAAGGTGCAATTATTTAAGAAATCAAGTTCTACGCCTATGTATTATTATCGGACAAAATTTTAACACCATTTTTTTTGTCACCTAAAATTCTATCGATATACCAAATTTCAGCAAAATCGCATATGTTGTTTTGAATTTATATGGGAAAAACGATTTAAAAATTGTAACTTCAAGGTCCTCTGGAGCCCAAACGATGCAACTTTGTACTGAGGTAATTTGACTTAAATCGACTTATTTTGGTCTAAGGAATATGTGGTATGCCTTTGTAAAGACCTTTTACAGACACCCTGTAGAATTAATCTCAAAAATGTCCTACTTTCCTGTTGACACTGTATAAAGATGGCAATCTCTGACGCGTATGGGTTTGCCTTTGCCTCTCACATGACGTGCTCTTAGCAACAGCTAATAATATTCCGAGAATGCTAGCTTGCGACCAGCGGCAGTGAGCGGCACCATACAGTCTGTCACATTCATCAGACTTTTAATAATGGTTATTAATGGCAGTTCCGAGAAACTATATCGCCTGATTTTTCTGCTGCCTTGGCAGCAGGTGTTCACTGTGAAACTAGGCTAGAAAGATTTTCGTCCGATTAGAATGATTAGATTTTCCGAATGTGATCTCATACTGAAGAAGCTAGCAAAGGCTCTTTCCATTTTCAACATTTTTTTTCATGTTCTGATTCTCACAAAAAGGGATAGTGATTCACACGAGACCAACGAGACGAGACTTTCATAAAGTCTCGTCTCGTCTCGCCGATGATATATGAAGTCTTGTCTCGAGTCTCGTCTCGCAGCCTCGAGTCTCGTCTTGTCTCGCGTCTCGTACGAGAGTCTCGCAAATGTATCGCA